TCCAGCGATCCCGGGCTCCGGGGGTCCCTCCCCGGGCTCCTGCAGGCCCTGGGTGAGCGCTGCCCGCCGCTCGGCCGCGGAGAGCCCCGCGGAGCAGCGCCGTGTTCGCCGCCCGTGCCCTCATTACCCCCCCACCAAGTGCAGTTTGTTTTGGGAAGTTCGCGTCGTGTAAGAAAGCCAAAGGGCGGTGGGGCGTGGGTGGGCTGCTCGGGGGTTGTTTGGCGGCTTTGGGCTGCGGCAAAGTTTGTATCGGGGAGTGAATGGTGTGTGAGGAGAGCTCCCCTCGGTTCACCGGCTGCGCGCACCATCTTAGACGTGGTCAGGAAGTGGAGTTGACTCAGGCTGGGTTTCACCTGATGATGTCGTCTGCTGAAATTCCCGGGAGTCCGGGGAAATTTGCATCACACTGAGGCTGTTCCAGGGCAGAAGTAGGTGAGAAAGACTATAAAGAAAGGAAAAGGGCAAAACAAAGGAAACAGCATGAGCGATACGAGCTCTCGGTGTTTTTTTAGCTGTAGGATACTGAAATCAGAAATTTGTTTAAAAACCTATCTTTGCTTTGTGACTGTAATATTAATTTCTTTTCTAAAGGGGTGTTAAGGGTCATAAAAATAGTATTTGAACAAAATGGATTGTCTTGAATCTCCTGCCAGGAAGAACAATCTGTGACAGAGTCAGGCAGGGTCCTTCTTGTTACCAGTTCTGCAGAAAGCATTATTTTGATAGATATCCCATATGGTTACAGGAATTCTTACCACAGTGGTTCCGAGCAAAATCATTTGTATGACTGCCAAGGCATTTTGTTTTAACCATAAGAAAAAAAGGTTAAAAAAAAAAAGTGTCCCTTTCTGTTTTTTACTAAAAATTTAATTATTTCTGGAAATAAATACCTCTTTTTAGAGGGGCGCTTAGCAGTTGTTGTCCCTTCTGAAACTATTTTACCTGGCGTCTCTATCTGGGCCTTCTGGGATGTGTGGCCCGGACAACCATAAATGTTTGTGAAGGATTTCCAGTGTGTGCCTGTTGCATGGTATTTCCCCTTCGCTCTGTAAGGGGATATTTACTCAGGAAAGGGAAAGTAATTTTTACATAATATGCCTTTTGTATATAAAGCTGCAGACTTGCTGGGCTTTGGTACATCAGCAGAAACTGCGTTTAACTCTCTTCTGGAAATCTGAGATTTTAAATATCCAGAAATATCCTTGGTGTTATATTCCCTTGAAACAGCTTTCTGCCAAACTTTTAACTTTGGTACTTTGCAG